AGGAGAGGGCTGGAAATTACACAATATTTGAGATGTGCTATTGATGGATATTTAAAGTGCCCATATTGATAGATACTCATCCCTGAAATGCTCTTCCCAAATTTCAAGCACTGTATACTGTTGAACACTGTTTTTTAAAATAAAATAACCCCCTAAATTAGTTCTTCTTTAAGCACACTTCTATTTGTGAAATTAAGGAAGCTGTCAGCAAAACAAAGCTCATTATTCCCATCTTTTAAGCAGGAAAAGCACAGTAGGAGTCAGGGTAATGATTTGCCCACAGCTCTAAGCAGGTTAACGTTTTCAGGCCACTGTTTTATCCTCTGGGTCCCCCTGCCTCATACTTCCCCAGCACATCTTGTTTATAGTAAAGAAATTAAACTGAAATAATAAACCAATCAGTATTTTATTATTAATACATTTCTTTTTCTGTGCTTTGTAGATGGGGACAGAGAGACTGATGTGTTTATAATGTTCAGTCTGTTGAACCTGAAAATAAGAGTGTGGGCTGCTTAAAAATATAGCCATCAACTTATGGAGTTGCCACTGTATTCAGTGTCCGCCATGTAGCACTCAAAAAGATTTTGTAAAGCCAACTTCTGCTGAATGTACTCATAAATATTAGAATATTCTTGATATGCTACACTGAAAACATTCAATCTGAGCTGTGAGCAACTAGTGTTGCATATCAATTTTTGGAAAATGCTAGTATTTGTATCCAGAGATCCTACCAGCAATACAAAGTGGCAAGATACTGAAACTGGCAATACAATGCCTTACACAATTATTTTGGGTCGAAGTATCCCATTGTACATAAATTCACATAATGAAGTTCAGTACAAAGCAAACTAACAATGGACTTGGCAAAGAGAAACAGATCAGCAGCTGCACTGGGAATTCAATGGAGAAAACTATTTTAATACTCCATGTGTACATAAAATTGTCTCTGAAACTGAGATGCAAATAATATATATTAAAATTAAAATTTCTTAAAATAAAATTCAGGCTTGCTTAAAATATAAACCAATTTCAGAATCAAATTTTTTTGAGAGCTGTGATTAGCTGATGAGAGGTGTTTTAGACAGATGATATAGTAGTTGGCACTGTATCATTATTGCCTTGCATTCTTTTTTCCCCCACACTGGCTGTTATAGTTCATATATACAATTCTGAATACATTTTAAAGTCTTCTGGAGTTACATTAAGAAGTCAGCAAATGACACAAAACTTGTGTTTCTCCATGGGAGGAGGAAAAATGGAGCATATTATGCAAATATAAAGCAATGCAGGCATTGCTCAACATAAACAATACTAAACAGTATAATTTAAAACAAAAAATGCAGTTACTGATTTTTAATATCTGCATTAAAGGTCTCCATTCTAAATAATTACATTTTGTAGGGAATATCTTTAAATGATGTTGTGTCTATTTAAAAGGAATTAGGAGAATATTATGCAAACAAGGTGAAGAAAATACATTTTGTTGTGACCATTTTTTCAAATACCTTCCCCTTTCCCAATATTTAAACTGGACATTACTAAAACTGCTAAAAAGAACACAAATTAAAAGACGGGTTTGGTTTGTTTGTATTTTAAAAACAATTATTTTGAGATTTTTTTTCCTTTTCTTTTAGGGTGGATAATTGGCCAAACTCTCTCATCTTTTTTATGCTTCCACAAAAACATACCCACCTATTGCTTGCTCTGAGCCCAGATGGGAGACAGGCAGAGGATTTTCGGAAGAGAGAGAGAGATGAGCTTACATCACCCAATATCCACATGCTAAAGGAAAAGACTTTTTGGACCTGGGGAAACCACTGTCAGGGTCTGCCTAGAGAAGCAAACTTTATTCATGGATCAAGCAGCTGTCAGGTGAGATACAGCAGCTGATTATAATGCCTAACATGATGTCACCTCTGTGGGGAAGCCTGCCTTAACACCTGGGCCAGTACAAAGGCTCCCATAAGGTTCTTGTCTCTTCCCCAAATCCCCTCCTGTCCTGTGGAAGAGCTGCCTTTCAACTGTACCAGCAATCTTTCAGATCATGTGGGTATTTCAGCAGTTCCCAGGTATTGCTGAAGATGGCAACACTTGTGGCTTTGTAGGGCAAAGCCTGACTTGCTCAAGAGAACAACACTGGAGGCAGGCTAAGAGAGGAGGGGGAAGTCCCTGCCAAAATGGGAGCTACATGGTTGGAAGGGAAAACCTCTCTGGAAGATCAAATGTACACCCCCACAAGCTTCCATGTCAGTTTTGAACCCTGCTTGCTCTGCCTCAGCATTTGAATAAGGCTGAAAATGCGGACTGAGATCCTTCACTGGCTCTGTAGCACTGCCAAGCCCAACACTTTTGCTCTTTGCCACAGGACAGGAGGAACTGGAGGAGCCTATGAACCTTCTGGCAACATCAAAACCTGCCTTCAATAAAACACCAATCCCTGCTTTGCAGCAGGTGTCCAGTGCTGCCTGCAAAGTGGCTCTGGAATACAAACTATTTTATGGACCTTTCCTGAAAAAAAAAGAAAAAAAAAGAAAAGAGAAGGGAAAAAGAGAACACTAGGGAAAAAAAAAAAAAGAAACAAACAAAAAATGTTTTAAAAAGATGATGTCTACTTTTGTTTTGCACATCTTCCAGCTCTACAAAAAACACACAGAGAATAACTACCTGGCAGTCCACTGTCAAGACTTGTCCACTTGTGATTTCCACCTTTACCAGCTGCCACTAATCACTTCCAAAAGCTGCCAGCCCACAGCCTGCATTGGACCTCCTAGATTTGTACTCCGATACACTCTACATCTCAAACTTTTAATTAAGAGGAGAAGAAAAAAAAAAAGAAGTTCATCTAAATCAATTCAAATGTACCATTTCTCCCAATTATTGTGAATGCAGAGGTCATCATCATGTTGCATCATTACATTGAGGAATAATTTAGCATGAAGTTCTATAAATTAGCTTAAATAGCTTGTGTGTTTTCATCCGTAACAGCATATTTCATAAAGATATACCACTGCTTTTCTGTGTACAAGGAACTAAATTGAACAGGCACATTACATCTATTTTGTAAGAACTTTAATGAGAAAAGCCTGATACAAACCTTCCCCCACTGCCTATCTATGAAATTTAAACAGAAGAAAAAAGAGATCTTATTTTCTGCTGCACATTAGACTCTGATGCTCCAGATTGCCTTTTTTTTTTTTTTTGAGGAATGCACCACATTCCTGGTATTTCTATTCAACACAAGCTTGTTTTTTAAAGAAAAGGCTTCAATTTTTACAGTGACATATGTAAGAAAAGCACTGACAGAAAACTCTGATATATCATTACAACTTAATCTAAGGAATCATCAATTTAAAGAGAAATGGTAATTGCATATAAAGTACAACCCAAACCCTTAGCTGAGTCAAGGGATGGTAGTTTAGGATGCTATATATCAAACCTCAAATACCCTACCTACTTTTATGTCCTGACAGTGGATGACCTTTCCAAAAAAAAGCAGCACAATGCACCTACATGCTATAAACAAATAAGAATTCTTATAGAACCTGTGTTGCATGCTGAATTCTTTACAAAAAACCCAATAAAATAAAATCAGAGAGAGCTCCATCAGTTTTGTTTTGGAACACTGGCAAGTACGTACATAATGACTTTCCCCTCTTGAAACGTCTCTGCTTCATTCTTATGCATAGACTTGAAGGGTCATTTATGTGTTTGGCTTGTTGCATCAATTCAGAGGATAGAGTTACTGTAAAAATTTACATTACTGCACGCTTGTAGTGATGAAACAGGCAAGCACGAGAAGAAAGCTTTTATTGCTTTTATTTTAGATTTGATGGAAAAGTGTAGTCATTTAGTATGACAACAGCCATCATGAAATTTGATTTGTTTATTGATTAAATTATGTTTTATTTAAGCAGAATTTTGAAAGCATTGAAATTTCTAGATAAAGCACAAATTTGACCTACCCATTCAGATGGTGTTGCTCCTGAATTGATCATGTATTTCAATTTGCTGTACCCACTTCAGTTTATAGTTGTGACATTTGCAGTGCACCAAGGACACTTACTGAAACTCAAACTTAATTTGAGTAAAACACTACTCTATATACTACTCTCCACAGAAAACTCATTTATTAAAAATGGGCAAAAAAGTTTTCATTTCTCCTAGAATGCATAAATTGCTTGTAACAAAGATGGCACTTTATTTAAAATCAATTTATAGAATGCTTTACAAAATTAATGTATTTTTGAGTCTTGATGGCTTAGGTTTTACTGTAACTTGCTACTCTGCTGAAGGTCTTGGAATCACAGGTGGATTAGTCCCTTGGTGCAGATAATAAGGTGAAGGACAGATTTTTAAGAACTAAGCAGTGCTAGCTTTCAACTAATGGTACAGCTCACTTGCAGCCCAACCAAACCTCTGAGCCTTTCCCCTAGGCCTGCCAACAGCTTTTTTTCCTGTCTTTTTGAGGTGCAGGCTGAGTTAATTTTGGGCTGAAAGAGTTCCCTGAACCTGAATGCAGGTGCAAAAAAAGAGGACAGCACTGTGCAGGGACAGATTTAGATGGCTGAAAACACTACGGGTCACCTTGGTTTGAAATGCACAACGTGTTTCTAATAACTAATGCAAGCTTCAAACCCCTAAATTCCCAAACATCTCACTGTTCCTTATATGCAACACTACTCTCATTCATCTGTTTTTTCTTGATTTATTTCTCACTTCAGTTATTCCAAAGAACTCAAAACAGAAAAACACTTAGTCTCCAAATCAAATTTAAATGTGTATTCGTGGTTCTTACTATTGGGTTTTTAACTATTTTTATCTTTTTATGAACTTATTCAAAGCCAGTTAAGGTATTTCAGGTTCAACACACTTTCTGAACTTTTTGTTTTAGTAAAGCTACTGTATTACTAAAGATAACAAACCAGGTTACAATTCAGTGAAGACAGCAAACATTTGCCTGCAGTATCATAAAGAATAGGAATTAAAATTATTGTTGATACCTGTGGTTAAAGGCAGATGAGTGACAGTAGTTAGACAGGTGAGAGTGAACCAGGTTGATGCTAATGTTGCTCCAGATAAAAGCAGCAGCAGTATGAACTTCAGCATGCCCCTGATAAAATCTGCAAATCTGAAATAAAAGCACACATCAGAGCAATACAAATGATGATTTTCATATTATCTAAATGTGATGCTTGACAATTAATTCAGTATACTCCCACTGAACATTCTGGAGACTATAAAAACAATTTATTTGTTTTTTAAATTCTCTTTTTCAGAAATAGAAAAAAGGTATTTTTATAGAATGGTGGTATTTCTAGCTGTCAAGCTGAAGAACCATGGATTTTTTAGCTGTCATGAAGTAACAACCAAACCAGAACAATTCTCAAGCAATTTTCAAGGCATCAAATGAAAACACTGGAGGAAAGTAATTTTTTTTTTTTTCTTCTGCATTTGTTGGACACAAGATCTCACCACTACTTCCATCGCTGTTTTGTCAGCATTTGCCAGTCTCCCTTGGCAGACACAGAGCTCCATTAGCATATGAGGAGGCTGCCACATTTCATTCAAGACATAGTTAAGTGTCAAGATTCATTCCTGTGGGAAATGGAAAAACTCCAAAAAATTCCAAAGAATCCCTAGTTGAAGATGACAAGGAACAGCTTCTGAACCCTTGGATGAATTGGTGATGAAGCTTGTGGTAGCTCAGGCAAGGAAGGAACTCTTTACACAGGGGGTCACTCTGCCAGTGGCTGTTCTGGGTTGAAAAGTTCCAGAAGAAGACACAAGGTTGGTGCTATTCCTCTTCTACACATATCCTGCTGACAGACTGGGGGAGGACAGCCCCACAAGTCCTCAGGCAGTCTGGCTGTTACACAGAGGGAATTATGATCTTTATACCACCTGATGGTACAATTGGTTTTTCCCTCTTTTTTTTTTCCTTTTTCTTTCAAGGAGACAGAATGCTTTTGAGCAGTGCTTGTGTGGCATAATTATCAGTGCAACTGCTCTTTTCAAAGGGGATGTCAACCTAACTACTGGGAAAGATATTAGAAAAGGCAATGTCATTTATTCATGAGTAATTTTCTATAATCTCCTGCTTAGATGTGATTTTGGGATGGACACATTAGGTCTATATTTTTAAAGCATATCTTCTGCCCTCACAGGCTCCTACTTTGATTAGGCTAATGGCAGCATAATCCACCTAGCTTGGTCCATGATGAAATTTGTCTGTCCATCAGCTAAATGCCTTCTCTGCCCTGACAAAGATCACTCTATAGGCAGATACCTCATAGCTTACTTGATAAATACAATGCTACACTTACATTACAAAGAAATGCTACCAAAATTTTTGAGATTTTCCAAATATACCGTCAGAGAAGTAGGAGTAATGCAGTCAAACACTCTCCATTCTCCCAAACCAACTTCTTTCCTTGTATTTTGATTCTCCCCATGCCTGAATTCCACAATGAATTTAGCAGTGAGTAATTCAATAAGCAGTAGTGGGAGATCAATGCTGCATATAATCTGAGAAGTTTATGACTGCAGTGTTCAAGTGGCTTATGCATTCATCTCCAATAGCCAGAGGTCAGCTGCTACTGGTGGATTTTTTCCTGACAATCCAATCAAGGAGTCAGGATGCCCTCACTGGTTTGCCAGTTTCTTTAATTATTCCTTGGGATCACTAAGGTCAAAATCAGCAATTTTAAAAGCTTTGCAGAAGCATCTCAAAGTGTAAACTTCCAGCTTATTCCACAGAGATTCCCACTTTGCCTGCTGGCAGGCATCACTGTCCTTACAGGCAAGGGCAGTGACGTAGATCCTGTCTAATGAAACACTATGAGAAACATCAGCTTCCTGGGAGGGACATTCACAGACAACAGGTCTGGGGGTGATCTCTAGGGGATCCTTAGTCTCTATCCCACCACCAAAGATATGTGGGCCTGGGAGGTTGATATGCATCTAAGCTATTCATGACAGCTAAGTGGAGAAAATACCTACCTTTACCAAGCAGCTGTAACTCTTCCTGACACAAAGATCCCAGTTTGGGTAGCAGTGTGCTCCAAAGAATTCTCAGATACCATAGAACTCCAAAAAGGTCAAACGTACCCCAAAGTAAAGGTTTATTCAGCTACTGGATTCAACCAGTAATAGAAATAATAGAAAAAAATAATAACCTAGCCTGAACTTGGTTATTGAAGGACTTCTGTTTCTTTTCTGGTTATGGGAGAATAAGGAGGACTGTACATCTAGTCTACTCTTCATAACACTTGCTTCAGTCAAAAAAATATAAGAAATTACTTTTATCCTCAGACCCTGTACTTGATTTCACACATTTAAATGTGTATAAATCCTTCATCATCTAGCATGTAAGGGACTGTCTGCAGCTGCTAAAAAAGCAGGCACAACAGAAGAGAAGGTGTATACTTTGCCAGACCTCTGAGTCTACAGCTGGTAACAGTCTCCAGCTCCCCAGCAGATCCAGCCCTAGGCTGTATCCTACAGTTAAAATCACAAACCTGCACTGCTGGCAATACTGTTTGTTGCTAAGGAAATTATCACCATGCCATAAAGTTTCAGCATTTTGACTACACTGCAGGTTAGAAGCAGTAACTGAAACTGAGCCGCAGAGGACAAAAACTCAAAAATATCAATGATCCTTGGCAAATGTGGGGAAAAAAAATTAAAAAATCTGAGAAAAGGAAATAGATTTATGTTTCCATGCAGTTATATGAATGTGGCTCTTTGACACTGCTTTTCTTCAAACTAGTAGCATTTGAAAGCTGCCACCAAAGGGTACAGCACCTACCAGCTGCCCAAAATAGGCCAGGCTTTTCAATTATAAAAATCCATTGAACACATTAGCTAAACATGTACGTTCATGGCTATCAGGACAGCAGTGGGTGGAGAGTAGAAGGATTTATGTATAATACTGAGGAAAACGTGCATCATTTTGAAAATGAGATAGATAAACAAATTTCCAGACTGGGCATTACTATAAATACAGATGATTTAACACCTACTGTGATGTACAGGATCTAATGCTCCAGGGCAAGGCTCAGGTTTTCAAAAATTGTAAATTATACAAGCTGCATTGACAAAAATGGAAGAAGCAAATTCCTAAGATGCACCAGTTTTGCTTTGGCAAATTAGCAGAAGAAAACAAAAAGGAAAAAAGCCCACCCCAAAACTAACAGCATCTTGAGAGATGGCTAAGAGAGAGAGCTGCTTGCTTGGCAAATCACAGTTCTGACACTGAAATATATCAACTTGTCAGCTTTGACAAGAATCATTACTTAATTTTCCTAATTACAACTTTCAGCAGATTACAGTCAGACTCATCATTGATTCAACCCTACACAGATAAATGCTGAATAGGCCTAGGAGGGAGAGTCATCCATCAGAAGTGACAAATCACCTCCTCCCTCCCTTTCTGTATGCAAACCCTCCCATCCGAACTGTGTACTGCCCAAGTTAGAGAGACATTTTTGGAGACAGACTGTTGGTATTTCTTAAATTTACTAAATACTACAAAATATAGGCATTCAACAAGGTTTGAAATCAATTTTGAAGTAGTTAAAGGGACTGTCAGCATTTCCTGAAACTTAACCCAGGCAATATATTAAATAAATTAATCTACCATAAAGACTGAGATTTGCATGTTGGTATAGAGTCTGCAGATTCTCTCCTAATAAAGTTAATTGAGCTTCTAAGCTCTACTATTGAAATAGTTGCAAATATACCAGAGATTAATTCATGATGAAAAAGATTAAACTGGTACTCTACCTGCTTCAACATGCAACCCATGGCATCTGTGTCATTTACAGCAGTTGCTTTTAAGCATCTATTCTCTTACAGAGAAAACACTGTATCTGAGCTTGGCTAATCAAAAGCAACTCTTTTTAGAGGAAATCAGGGCATGAACTTCATTTGGCTAGATTAAGTCCTTTGGCCTGCATCTCAAGTGGATGGGAGAGAAGCACTTGTTTCTTTTCCCTAGGTCAGGAGTTTTTTCCTCTCCCTGTTGCAGTTGCTAGGCAGCCTGCAAAATGTCAGGATGTGAAACCTCACATTTCTTTATGCATTGTGTACTCTGATGAAGCACAGCAAGTGAAAAAAAGAGTTTCAAAAGGAAAAAAAAAAGTCCTAAAAGATCTCTCACTCCATCCACAACACCAAGATGCAACCAACAATTGCAGGTATCTGCACATGTGCTAAACTCACTGCAGAACTGGAGCCTAAAGACTGGACACAGAGAAGCCAGGACAATGCTCAGATACCCCAAAGTAAGGGGAACATGTAATTTGTTTTAATCACATAAGAAACTCACTGCTCAGGTACCTCCTAAAAGATTTTTCCTCCCTCCCACCATCCTTTTTTCCTAAAGAAGACCTCAGTGAAGAAGAAGAAGCAGCCTTTTGGAAGGGCAATCCATTTCTTGCTGTTCCACTCCCTGTGCCATCAACATTCACAATGGCCAGAGACAGCTGTGTCTGGATTTATAAAAAGCCTACATACACCCATACTGTAGCCCATAGGATACAGCACAAAATAGTTAGGCTATGCAGGAATCCAGCAACCTGCCCAAAATGAGCCCAGACTCATTTCTCTGTGGAGGAACATAATGTTACTGTGGGTAGGCTGCCTGTGCAACATTCTCTATATCCCTTTGGGAATCAATACGCCCAGAAGTGTTAATGGAAGGAGACAAACAATACTTTCTTCAGTGCTCATTGTGCTACAATGAGGTTCTCCCTCATACTAGGCAGCTGAATTCACCAATGCTGTCTTTAAAAGCAGCATACAAGAAGCCATTGTCAGGAACAAGAATCTGACTTCCAAATTCAGGTGTATGCATGTGGAGTTCCCAATCCCCAGCAACTGCTAACATGGTACCAATTATTGCTTTACTAGAAACAAATTATAACCCCAAAAGGAATTTTTCATTTCAAGTTTCTGGAAGATGAGAGAAAATAAGTTCTGTTCTTAACAGGATAAACTAAATGACAATCACAGTTGAAGAAATGGAGAAGGACCTGTAATTATTCCTACCTTGCCATTGCTATGCCAACCACACAACCTCCAACTGTAGACCAAAATCCAATCCAGCCTGCATCCACCTGACAGGGAAAAAAAAGCAAAACAAAACACAGAGAAATGTGTTAAAGCTGAGAAAATAAGATGAGGTTACGTTCAAAACAAATGTTGTGCAGGAGCTCCAAACTGCTAACAACAGCTCTCTACAATCTCAAGTGCAAGGCTTTTTCTGGGAAAGGAAATAAATTCACCACAAGAAAGTATGACTAAGTAGTCTATGCCCTAAATGTGACCTCTCTTTATGGAATCTGAGTAATGTCCTCTGTTTTTTTTTATAATACTCTATCAAAAGCTTAGAAATCATCTTCTCCCCACTTCATCTTTTGCACCATGCACACATTATTTTCTTTCACTAGAGATGCAGCAGCCAACAATACTCCCATTTGTTTACCTACTTCTTCCTTCTTGTCAAAAGGTGTGTACAGTTCTGCAAACACTCACCACTGATGAAGAGTCAGCAGGGAGAATTGTGACAGTCTGGGATGCCAAAGCTACAATACATTTTGTTTAAAAGTTTAAAATTCAGGGAATTAAGGAATTATTTATAATTCCTTAATAATTAAGGAATAATTCCTTAATAATTAAGGAATAATTATTATTAAGGAATAATAATTATTCAGGGAATAAAGTGGTCCATTTGTATTAATAGCATGTTAAACATAAAAACCTGATAAAACTGCATGCTAGTGCAAAACAAAAACATGCCACTTACAAAATAGCTGCTGATTATCAGGCAGGAAATAGCTGCTGATTATCAGGCAGGAGATACTCACCTGGCTTACATGAATGGGTGTTAATATCAAATCCAGAACACCAGACCAGCCAGAGAAAACACCCAGTGGTATCGCATAGGCTAAAGCAATCATCAAGAATCGGAAATTGCTGTGAAGATGAAACATTGCCATTAGCCTCAGCTTATAGTAAAAATTGCACCAAGATTAGCCAGCAGAGTAAATCACACCCCAGAATCTATATTCTGCCATCAAGATAAACAGAAAAGGTCTGAAGGAGGAGTGAGCCAGGGAAAACAAGAAAGGTATCCAGCCATGTCACTGAATTTCTAGTGACCGATATGTTACTACCTTAGCACTGTGATAATAGAAAAAGCCACTCTCTCCACAGAGTTCAAAGATTTCTGTAATATGCTGGGCTCATACATTTCTCATTTCTGCAAGCAATTCTTCCATGCATTGGCATGGGTAACCTACTTAGCCTAAGTGTATGCTAGGAATAATAAGCACTAATTTAAAAGATTAAAAGCTTATTTAAAAAATAATATCAGAGATTCATCTGTCTTGAACTGCACTTAAAAAGTCAAAAAAAAAACCAAACCTGTTTTGATTCTCTTTATTTTGGTGAAAGGCAAGAAAAGCTCTGAAAATGAAGCAGATACAGTTGCAAGAGTGGAAAACTCGAAGTGGCAAAAATCAGAGACAGATATAATACTCTAAATAGTCAACATGTTTGCTTTTCCCTCCAGTTATTCAACCTTTAGTATTAAGTGAAGGTGAAACTGTCAAAGCTATATCATCATCTTCAATGTATAGAGCTAAACAGGAATTTAACCAACCATTTCTCTACTCACCATAACTGAAAGCAAATGTGAAATCCTTGCTAAGAGTCACCCAAGTTTTCCTCAAAAATGTTTCAAATGGAAAAGAAAATATACTTTGGAATCTGAAACAGCAACATTTTAAACTGAAGAGATTTTACAGTGATTCCAAGGTCAGTTATCCCATGGGATATCTGTGTAACCCCAAACGTGGCTCCCTCCAGTCTCAAACCATTTACATAAAATTGATCCTGATCAGTACCAGTTCCTTGGCAAGCAGTGGCAATTTGATAGCACAGAGTTACGAAAGCCAAGAGGGAGAGACATTCAATTACTCTCCAAAAACATTTGTAAGTTTGCAGCTTGTGCTGTTTTACTCCCTTAGATGCTCCACACACAACACACCAGCCAGTGCTTTTTGCACTGTTCTTTTTCACACATCCTCTTCTTGAATAATGCATTTCCATCCCATGAACATATCCTCCGCTTTCAATACCATTCGTGTCAGATTTATCTTTTAATCCAAAGAAAAAAACCTCTCAAACTTTTGGCTCTTCTATACATTTTATTATGTTATATTTCTCTGAATGCTACTGTCTTCCTCACAACTTTTTTTTCTTTCTCAAGAATGCCATACTCTTATCTTAGTCTATCTTGTATCACCCTGGCATTTGATGCTATTTAATACTGTCAATGGGAAAGTCATCTCAACATCTGTAGAATAAAATAAGAGGGAATTTTGCATGGACCTTACAGAGCCATATTTTAGACTGTTAAGAGGAAACAAGTCTGAATGTAGTGTTTTGAAAGAAAAACTTGCTGAATATTCAAAATCTTTGACTACCTGGACCTAACTTCATTAAAGAGCTACTTTTGAGGGAGAACTTTGTCCCTTACTTGATCAGCATTTTCTGTGGTGTTTGTTTTCTGTAACTCGAGCAACAAGATAGACTGTGATGTGGGATAGCTGCTCTGTGCCACATCCAACCCCTAGTACCAATCTTACAGTAACAGCTCTGCATGATGACAATCTCCAGGGACAGAGCCTCCACAACAAGGAAGGTGACTAGGAGAAAGGGAGCCTGGCAGTGACAGAGATACTGATCACCAGGTGTCATTCTGCTCCCTTGCCCAGCAATACCTGTTTTCCATCCTATCAGCAATGACAGGATATCAGCATTAGCCTCTCTGTTAAACCATTCTGCTGGAATATGAATTGATTTTTTTCTTCTGTTTTTTTCAGAAACTTAACGCCACTAGAATCTGTAAGACAGGCTGGTTCAGAGGGGAGCCCCATCAAAGTCAGTCATCATTTTTAGAGTAACTTTGACAGTGCCTATTAACATCAGGCACATTCTGAGCAGCTTCCATTACTGGATGGTGATGTTGATGAAAGTGTCATTAAAGCAATAATGATGCATAAAACCCCTGATACAAAATTTCAAAATTGCTTACATAGTCCCTAGAAAATATAAAAGCCATGTAACTGGCTAAAAGTATCTTATTACTTCAAAACAAAAATCACAGCATGTTTTTTTAATGCAGGTTTTAAGACTTATCACTGTTCACTTGTATTAGGATTTTTCTCCACTGAAGTTTGTGGAATATCCTGAATTGGGGAAATAAAAGCAGTCATATTTGCTTCACCCAAGAAACTGAGATAGGGCATCACATTTTCTAATGGAAATTCAAACTACACTTGTCACTGTGCGTGATAGACTGTTAAAAGACTTGGGCTGAGCTCCCAAACCATGACCAATCTGTTGTCTCCCACTGCAGGCTCAGAGAGTTGGTATCAGGAGATAATTAGACAACAACTAATTGTTACAATCTGTCGAAGAAGAAACCCTCCAAATCTGAAGGAAGAATCAAGTTCCCAAGAAAGTCCCCCAAAACAGGCCCACAGGGGATGGCTGACCTCTGTTGATGGTGTAATAACTCTGCAAGAAGCAGTTCATGTAGATGACTGCCCAAGGACTCAAAGGCATGAAGGAGTGTGGGAGTTGCAAGGATGTGACAGATCTCCTTGGTGTCCAAGGAAAAAAGGTCAGTGACTTCAATGGTAAAGTTATGCCATGTTGCTTTATTTTGAAGTAATAAAACTGCAGCCTGGCAGAGAAGACAGGGAAATTATAAACATCTCAGTTCTCATGAGTGTATCTGGTGCATAGCTGGGTCAGCCCACCAGCTCACACACATCCTACATGCCTTACACACAGTTCTTACACCAAAGAGTCTACAATAAAAGGAAGTCATGATTTCTTGGCACTCATCTGCTGGTTACCTTCAATCTACACTATCAAGTCTAATGAAAGGCTCTCTGAGCCAAGATGAAGCCTAGATTAGTCAGGCAACAGAGCTTAGAAGCCTAATGAACCAGATGATGGATTTCTCTTGAAGCATGGCAGATACCATTTTCTTTTATAAAACTCCTTTGCATGACAGAATGTTACTGAACAGTTCCCCAAGATAAGTGGGTTTAATGATGAACTGTGGATTGTTTCATGTATTGAGGAATGAAGTAGTGCCTTTGATAAAGTGCAGCATAGAAGAATGCAAGATCTCAGGGAAGAGAGATATAATTATCTACTTGTCCACATTTTAAAATAGCCCTCTTGGTTCTTGGACACACTGTAAACAATACACATTATTTAAGGGTCCAGTTTGTTTTCTTAAGTTTCATTGGCTATTGTTAACAGTAAGCCAGCTTTGCTGTTTACATCTGACCTAACCAGAATCTCAGGTCCACTGCTTACAACGCTTTGAACATAGAATCTAATGGTTATAAAACTCCCAAATGGAGCACTGTCAACTGAAATTTTATATTTCACCTGCGGAGGCAGTTGCTGTTTGGATTTCTGCTCAACAGCAACATTTTTACAACACAGCCCTCAGGCAGGGTCTAACAGCACATCAGCTTGGGTGCAGAACAGCATTATTGTGCGTGCTAAGTGTCCTTAAGGGAACTGCTATTTTTTAATACCCTGAATAGGTCACTTTGCAGACTAACTACCCAGCTGTACTCACACCTCCTGAGTGCCAGCCTGCTCCAGGATGACACACAGGATTAAGCATCTTGCCAACTATTTACTCCCCAAAATGAAATAAAAAAAAGCCTGCTAAAACAAAAGAAAAGAAAACCCAGTGACAACAAGGGATGAATTGTTTCTGCTGCCTCTAAATACAATTATTGAAAGTACAGTCCACAATAGGTCTGTAGTAACTCAATGTCCAAAGCTGCACAATTATTGAGCTTCAAGCAGCCCTTTATATGCAGATTCAGCTCCTACATCACTCAACAAGCAATTACAGCAAGAGTCCGAAGATTCCCGTGAACTCAGTCATATTCTGTACCAGGTGAGCAGCTCTTCTTTGCCCCAGAAAGTTCCTCTGTGCAGTATCATCTACAGGGCCTGGGCCTTCACAATTGTTCACCATTAATATTACAGTTGCTTTAGCTGCTCCTCTGAGATCATGTCTCCATTCAACAAGACACTCTACGAACACTGGGGGAAGTGCGACTGTGTCTTACCAAAAGAAGCCAAGAGGGAGAAGCTGCTTTACCATCACGTTCTCTGTAACATCTCCCTTTTTTTTAACCTAAAAATTAGGTTAGGAAGCTAGCTCACCTTTAAGCCTATCCAGAAACACATCTGGAGACATTTTTCCTATTCCCACTTCATATTTTAACATACAATTAATGAGATTTAATAGATCATATAATACTTTCAGATAGGTCATTTGTTGCTTCCATGGCTGAATGAAAGCAGCAGAATAATCCTTCAAAAGACAAGTAAAGCCCTAATTCCCTCCAATATAAAGCACAGAAGAAACCAACTTAGAAGTTAGTTTTGTCCAGTGCTGTTCACTGTTTTCTCACTTGCTCAATTTTAACAATCTTGTATAATCTGATGTAACAAAAGCATTGCATAAGAAAAGCCATGCTAACAGGATGACTAAAGCACTGCTGGTGCTGAAGGACTGGCATGAAGACTGGAGATACACACACAGTGGTTTAAAATTTAATGTCTGCTCTTTAGTAGTTAGCATCCTTTTATGTCGTGACATTAATATTTAATTTTATTTTGTTTAAAAGCACTACAAACCAACTTGTTTGCTCAATGAGAAGATTAAAGCACACTTGTTTTTATTTACTTAGGCACTGATCTGCTTTGAAGTGGAAACTCAATGAGGTCCTACCTTAAGAGTCTGCAAAAACTTCTCCTGTAGCTGAGCCGCTGGCTCGCTGCAGCCACACTGGGGGGAAATGGAGGGCGCGAGGGGAAGTAGGCCAACGCTGCAGAAAATATCAAGGAAACCATTCCAAATTCTAAACAAGAGGGCAAAGAAAAACAAAACCAAGAACAGATGTTAGCATTGAAAGACTTATTTCACTGCAGTGCTGTTATCAGCCAGCCTCTGAGACATAAATCCCATCACAAGTGCTTGACTGCTCCTGACAACAGAATTCCGTAACTTGAAGAAGAAATTTCTTTCTCCTTCCCCAAACAAGATTTCAAATTGAGATGGAGAATCAATGAGACTGGCAGTCCATTCCAGTGATAGGTGCTGCAGAGAACCAGGCTCACACACAGGGAACTCAGTGAAGCAAAAGGAAAGCTTTTGCTTTTTCTCTTCAGAGAGATCTGCAATATGAGGATTTGGCCACGTTTCCTTGCGATGGAAGTAACTCAGTGCAGGTAACAGCATGCTAGAGACTTTAAACAGATGGAACTGGGGAAGCCCCAGGGCATGGAATAACAATTACTCATTGCACAAGATGATGAAGGCAAACAAAAGGTCAAGCAAGGCAGCAGTTCAGACACAAACAGTACTACATGGCAACAGAATATAAAGAGCAAAGTGCAGAAGCAGCCATGGCTCATGAATAGAAAAAGTAGAGGTAAAAGGGGAAAAAAAAGGCATACAGCTGTTTGTGGATGCTTTGCTTGTTTAGCAGCAGGTATTCCAAACCTTTGAAAAATTTCAAACCAGAAGTTTGGACCTGAGCTTGAAAAGTGATGAGCACTTCACAAAAAACAGTAAGTCCCATGAGCAGACATTCTGAAGAGAAACAACTCTACCCGCAGTCAGTCTAATTAATTCGTTTTACAGGCCTTTTACAATGTGTATCAAGCTCTCTACAGTCCTCAATCCCAGTATTTCTCCTATCCCCTTTGAAAACAAGATACTTTGTTGATAGAGAGAAAAATGTATAGCTGAAGTGTGTTATCTTTAAAGAACTTGTGATCTTATAACAAAGAAGTGTTCACTGACACCACAAATAAATTCCAGCAGAGCTGGATACTCAATTGCCTTAATTTTCTTTTTTTTCTTCTCTTTTTTAATAAATCAATATCAACATGGCACTTTGCCAGGTCTTCTGCTAAACTAGAAGAAAATAAATTCAGGAAACTGAAAAGTAAATAACACTCAGAGTCTCAATGGATCAGCTGGAGACGGAGAAGGGAAATGAATACTTCCATTCGGCATATGGGGAAAAAAGGCATATTGGGAGTGTGACAATGCCATTTTTCATGATCAAATATTAAAGGACTAATTTTGAATTATGTGTTGTCTCTTTTCCTGCTGTGGTGTAACTGCATGTTTCAAGGGCCAAGGGCACTTTAACTAGACCTTCTCACTCCTCTGCTCTTCAGAAAATAGATTAATTTCTATCTTTGTGCACATTGTTTTGGACACCATGAGCAGTGAATAAAGAACTGGCTGTAACTGATCACCCCAGACCTAAGAAAAGGATGAGATGCTCTGTCACTACAGGATGATTCTACACCACTCTTCAGTAAAAACAGTAAAGTAAAAACCCTCCGGCCTCTAGTATACATATAGGTTTACAGGCATACATATGTACATCCACACACACATTTTAATCACATATTAAAGGAAAATTTAAGACTGCAGACAGGTATAGCCAATCAAGAACGTGATCACACAATCCCATAAATTTTGTCCAAGGTACTCATTATTTAACTTTGTTATATTGCAATGCTATAAGGTGAAAGGCCAGGTTTTTTTCTGAAGAATATAAACCACACTGATAATTCTTTAAAGTCATAGAAATATTTCATAACAAGTGCCCATCTGGGGCCTCATCTCTGCACTGCCTTAAGACTTCTACTAGTCAAACTGCTGTAGTAGGAGCAGCATAGTAACCCTCTTTTTCTCTTTTTTTTTTTTTTAACTACTAAGTTGAGCATGCTTTAATATTTCCCAGTATTTTACTTTGCAGGCTAACAAATTTGCCTAGGTAGCTCTGCTCTCATGCACAAATGGAAAGTGATGAATTCACTGTGGAAACAAAAGCATCTCCTTCTGTTGAAGAATATGAGTTTTTAGTGCCATCTTAGCTTTGTATACAATACTTATACCTCTATCAAAAGTCCAGGTACTGCCAAACACATCTGATTTCTTACATACTGAAATCCTTCCTCAATAGGAAACCCATACCTTTATCTCCATTGTCTACTTTACCAGACTAGAGGAAGAAAAATACAATCTTAAACTTTTCCTGGGCAGGTAATTAGTGACTAAAAGTAAGCGAAGTTGAGAAGGTAGAAATAGGTCAGTGCTGAGAGTGAGGGAGCTGCAGTTACAAGAGAGAAGCTCTTCTTTAGAAGCTGCCAGCTTCTCAAAAGTGCAATGGATGCCTTCAAACAGAGCAAAGCACACTAATAAATTAGTGTGCAGAGACACAGATATGTACAAATCTGTGTACTTGATGAGGAGTGGAACTGGAATGCTTCACAAAAGCTGTGTTCCACACCACATTGACTTGTGACATGAGATGCCTGCATCCTAGCCTAGGAAGCAGGCACCCTGATGCTTGTGTAAACCCCAAACAGACAAGAAAGAAAGACATAAATAAATAAATAAATAAATAAATAAAATAATAATAAATATAAATATAAAATAAATATATAAATAAACAAACAAATGTTTACAGAACCACAAGCCTCCTTGAAAACAAAGTATTTTTCCTTCAGACAGGATACTCATAGCACAAAATCCTGTTCAATCCCAGAAACCCTCCTCCCCACTTTGGTCTGTGGAAACATTCCAGGGAACATGAGGGCCCCTTACACACACACTTTTTTTTAAAACTAAAACAAATAATGATTTTACATTGATATTTAGGAAAGCACAAGGCCAAAAGCTCTGGCTGCAGTCCAGAATAATTCATGCTTCCTTACGCAATTCAGGTAATACAATTCAACCCTGATCTGCTACATCTGTACTACTTGAGCTGTGAACCAGAATGTGCAGTGACACAGATGACACAGAAAGAGGCTGTGGCAATTCAGCTGAGCTCTTAGTCTATGTTTGAGATAAAGGAACAGCAATTTATTAAAACACAGAAGAGACTAGGGTTAACAGAGCAATTTCAGAATGGGTTTATAAGCAATTGCTTCGTAATCATGTTTGATTAAACATAAAAAAATTTGCACACTCGTGGCACACTACTGATCCCAAGTTAACAATTCACATCATTACTGTCTTTTGAAAGACACCTTCTAACTTTTGGAGGCTGCTTATTTAACACTAGTTCACACAAAAGCAACAAGCTCATTAGAAATGCAGAGTGCTTACCCTGTGAAACTGGCTTTCCTGTAGTATCTGCAAGGACAGGTCATACCAAATCTGACCACATTTGTTGAAGAAGTGGAACAAATGGGTCCAGCTTCTTGCTCTTCTACATTCTGCAAAACCTTTACTACTGATCTGTGAAGTCAGTTTGAGCCAAGTTTTCTGCACAGCTGCTTAAGGGGACAAATAATAGTACCCTATCACACCTAGCAGGTATTTTTTCGTCCCACAGGTGAACAGAGCTGTCTGTTCACTATCACCCACCATGAAGCAGCTATCCTTCCACCTCTGGAGCCCATGGGGCACAAGAGAGCATAGGGAAGCAGTCAGCAGCAACCTTGTGCCTTTAGCTCTCCAGGGAAACAGGGCTAAGCTGAGACAGAACAAATCCCATGAAGGATTCAAAGCAAACTCCTCTTCGACAGTTCTTTGCAATTTTAAACCACTTGGAGGTTTTCCATCATTACTGTGATTCACTGCAGGCCAGCAATGCTCACAAAGCAGCTCTCTGTCATTGTCTGAACAGCTACAGGGTTTGCAGCTTCTGAAAATACACATCCCGTAGGACACAAACACCAGCACAAAGAACCCATCTCTGTTCAAAGCACTTTCAAATACTAAGTGACAAAACACAATTCCTAGGAAGCTGAAGAGCTGCTGTAAGATCATTGCTTGCTGGGAACAGTGATCCCAAACAGGTCTACAAGGGTGCTCCGACACCCCTGCCAGTTCAGAAAGGTAGAGCCATGCTTAGACGTGAGGCAGGCAAGACCTGAACCTTGGTGGCAACATCCATCCCTGTTTCTGAGGAAAATGCTTAGGAAAACCTCCCAAAAGAGAACAGAAGAGAATGTGAATCTAATGCACTGCTGAAGGCAACATTTCTAGCACTGCCAGACTCAAAACAGTGGTTTCAAGCACAACACAGTATTTCCCTAGGCACATGAATTCTTCCCTCTCCATGGAAAATCTACGGAGGGAGAGCTAAAGCACTTCTCTAGTTGCTACGGTTTTCCTCCCCTTATCTACTGCTCGTCAGGACAGCAAAACCTGACTTGCTTTCATTTCTCCTTCTTTCACACTAGCCATTTTCATCTGCCACAAGATTTTCACAGCCTAACATCATATTTACTTGTGAAAAAGGCTTAGCCCAACCTGAATTTCCTTGTTGTTCCATTCGAGTCCAGTAAGAAGTAGGTTACTCAAAAATACTTAAAGTAATGATCCAAATTCTATTGCATTTTCTTTAAAACAAACATTAAAGTGGCCCTCACCCAACAGGAATATTAACTTGACAAATATTTTTAAGAATAATGTCCAGGAATAAATGATCACAAACAGCCAATTCACAGTATACATATGTTAGGACTTCTGGAACACTTAGGACTAACTCCTGGCTGAATTTCAGAGGATGCAATTATAAGAGGGGAAAATCCCTATCAGATGTGCAACTCTTAATGCTGTACCAATTTATATCCACTAAAACTCAGAATGTAGATGCTTAAACCACTTAATCAATCCTGTTTCCTTAAAGTTTGCTGCTAATTTTTCTAAGTGGCAGGAAGAGGCATAGAAACCATTGCAATAAAAAGAGCAAAGACATAAAATCCAGGTTTTATCCAAGGTGAATTTTGTATCAGTGATTTTTTCCACTAAACTGTTGTCACTTCATTGAAATTGCTCACCAGTAAGAATTATGTGATTTTAGCTAAAAACAAAATTTATTGTGTTTTAATTTCAATGTTTCTGATTCCGTAGATTCTGAAATACTAATAATCTAATCACATTTGAAAGGCACATTCAGGTCATAAATTAAGGCTCAGTTAATGCAGAAAATAATTCAATGCTAAAAGATGACTGAATTTCCATCCTTACAGAAACAGTAGAAGAAACCAAATTTGTCATGGAAACATATTCTTAATGAAAATTCAGTAAGCAAAAACTAGTTTGGAAGCTCAGGGAAACTCTAAGAAGACATTTCTCTGAAAATCAGCCGATACAAACAACTGAATTACTTCTTTTTGAGTTTTAAAATTAAGGGCTATTTAAAAATCTTTCCTAGATAAAAGGAAAAAAAAATTAAGCCTCTCAACTTAATTATTTTCCTTCAGCCAGAAATGAGATCCTGTGCAAACCAGCCACTAGAGGGTAGTGGTTCTCAAGCACCAACCACACACGAAAGCATGTACATTTTCTATGTTTTTAGGTGTTGTGGCTGCCCCACACCTGCATAGAGCATGGCCTCGATGCGGTCCTTGATGTGCTGGGTGTTGCTCTGTGACAGCAGGTGAGCTGTGCCATTGGGAGGTGGCACCACCAGAGGCCCCACCAGGAAGGCAGCAGCAGAGCCCAGGGAGTTGAGCAGCGAGGCGATGGCTGTGGCCGTGGCGCGCTCGTCCGGAGAAAACCATGTCGTGGAAAGGAAGGGAGCCGCGTTCATCACCGTGGGCCCCGCCAAGCCGTTTAACAGCTGCCCTCCGTGGATCAGCCTGAAAGACAGAACACATCATGGCCTTCTGGATGACAATTGCTTGCTGGGTTTTTTTTTAATTAAAAAGGCATATGAGATACCGAGTGCTGGAGATGGAGCTACTGCACAAAGAAATGAAGGTCCTGTGCAAAAGAAGGATACTCCATACACTAAAAGAAACCAAATTAGATTGATTTAAAGAATCCGGAGCTACTCTCTTCTCATTACCTCATATAAATGGAGAAGCAAATGTTCTCTTCAAAGCAGAAAAGGAAAAGGGAATAAAAGGGACTTTCTTTGCAGCGAAAAGGTATCGTGACAGGATATAAAAGCAGAAAAGGTGTAGTAGCAGAAAAGCTTTAAATTACAAACATTGTAAACCTGACCCTCCTGCCTGCATAAATCCCAACCGAAGATTTAAATTAGTTATGGCAGATCCAAAATTGAAACACTTCAGCAAAATACTCTGCATATTTTTTCACTGCATTATTTATTTTTATTTACACACTCAGATAAGCTCTATGTGCCTACAGATGAGAAGGCCGGGCTGTTAGGGTTTCCAAGACAGTCGTCTTCTCCAGCAATCTGGCCATTCTCAACATACTGCTGAAACAGCCAAGTAAACCCAGATTTTTCTCATTTTTCACACTCATTGGGATTTAACAGATAAGGCTGGTGACAGAACATAGATAGTACTTCCAAGCAGTGAAGTCTCTGCAAAGTTTGGCTTAATATTAGTACAATGAGCAAATACAGAAAAAACTTTTTAAAGGTTCTCCTATACATGGAATTCAGGCAGAAATCTTCCACTTTGACTTTTCCAAACAGTAAAGAGCCATGGAAGGCAAAACTATTTTGGAATTTATATAAAAACTTCATGTCTAAAAAACAGCTAGAAAGTCACATGAGATATTGCAACCCTCCAAAGTAAATCTATTCATTGTGCAATAAAGTGGTGGCAGATGATATTTTCAAATGGGTGGTGTTATTCTAACCATCGCAGGAACTCAGTGTTATTGCTGAAAGACTTGAGTTGTGAGACATAAAAAGCTAAGGCCTGAAAATGGGGAAACATAAGCCAGTATTTAGGCAGTGTTTCAAGCCACAAATGGCTGAATAATATACAGTGTAGCAGGAGTTTTTTAAAGCACACAAAGGAACACAATATGCAAAAGAAATGCCTACAGACTCTTTATCGAATTAACAAGATAGACTGCAACAGAAAGGAATAGATGCTACTGATTCTCAGTGGATTGGAAATTAAAATTTTAAACAAAATTTATAAAAATATACAAAAAAAGAAGCACTATCATATATCATCTGAAGGAAACTCTTTCTGAGCTGGGACCGAAACAATATCCACTCTTACTTATAGGCAATTCAATGTTTTTGGATTTTTTTTTTTATCCTCACACAGAAATGACAGATTTCATTACTGGTGTTGATGATGTGCTTCAGATGGACATTACCAAAGCATGGTTAGGCCTTGTCAATGCTTGTTAAACTGTCACACACGCTAAACCAAAATGAAATCGTTTTAAATAAAGGAAAAGTACTATATAAACAATGCTCTGGTATTTTTCTGGAGGACCCATTACATCAATCCCCTATGGTGACTCTCCAGTGTACTCAGGACAAACCAACGTATCCTTGTGCACTTTGGTATATTCACTCTACTTATCTCACTACAGTAAATTATTCTCAAATTTTTAAACTGTTCTAGGGTATTTGCAGAGCTGTGGCACATCCCCAGGAACAACTGCATTTCAGCAACAAGTGAGGTAACTACTGCAACATATAACAATTTTATTTTACTATTTCCTCCTGTTCCAAAGTGAATTTAGCATTTAAATTGTGTTCTTGTTACTGTATGTTTACAAAACTGTGTCACCACAAAATAACCTTTATAGTTTTGGGTCCCACTTCTGCTCACTGGCACCACTCTGGTACTACTGTTTTAATTCAAATATGCCTCCTCTGTAGTCATCCTAAAGACAAATAAAACTCAGTAAAATTAGAAAAAACTACAACAGTTCTGCAGCATCTGTGGTCATGTAGGCACTTCACCTGACAAAAGAAGAAAATTTTTGTATAAATAACCCTGAACAAACCATTCAACAAAAGCCCACAACTTACATATTGTGGAAATCACACACACATATTCTAACCATGTACTTCAGATTTACATTATGTCTATCAAACTTCATCATCTGAATAAAGCTCTACAACCAATCTCTACACTCAAAGGGAGCAACAAATGTTAATTTTACTTTGCAGATCCCAGCAGAGAAAGTAGCAACTTAATCCAGAATTTTATTTCTATATTAGCTTTTTGTCTTTGTTGTTTTGGGTTTGTTGGTTTGGGTTTTTTTCCAAAGGGTGAGGCAATTTTGCCTCTCTCAAGGTATCTTCTGTTGGTGTTTTCCTAGCTGTTCTCTCTCCAGCCTTGTCCTAGCTGGTGTGCTCTGTTCACATGGATTTGCATTTTTCGCATTTAGCAAGCCTGACATTATCATCCAGGGTAGAGCATCTCTTATCTTCATATTGTTTAATTTCTCAAGTTCAACATATTCGAGTTAATAAAGACTATTTTCAGACTAAATAGCCATCAATATACAGATTACGACCTCAAATATCTCCGCATATGATAACAGCTTAAACCCTATTTTATCTCTTTTTCAATACTGGCTTGAATTAAGCTACTTTTTCCTGAGAAAAAGATTATTTGCATGGTTCTTCTACACATCCTTAACTCATTTCCCCAGAGAGGCAGCGACGAGAGATTCAAAATGCAATTCAGAGCATTTACTAAGCTGCTGCTCCGGGAGATGTATGCAGCAGCTGCTCCACCTGACAGAGAAATACGAGCACAACAGTATTGCTGGCTTTTTGCTGTTTGTTACAACATCTTATCAGCACTGCACTAGATTTTGGTCTCACAGCCCATGAGTCTCCTCTCATACACCATCAGTGCTAAAAATTGCTCTAAGACCAAGAGAGATTTGTTTTTGTTATACCCTGATTTTCTTCTTGTTTCTGCTATTGAAAAGGTGCAAAGAGGAACATTTTCCCCATCACTATTCCAATTTCATTCTGCACAACTTTCTCTTTCCTGAAGAAAGGGATGAAAAGATAACTTTAGCTCAGGATCTTACCCAGATGGAAAAACATTTTTCAGTCTCATTACACTATCAAGTGTAATGTTCATCTGTTATTTACCCAGCGCTGTTTTCAGATGTGTTATTTATCCAATCATCATTTAATTATTTTCATGTATCAAAAAGTAGAAAGCTATTGAGGTCAAATGACAGAGAATAACATGAGCAGAAGGCTTTTTAATCACAATCATGACAGAGAAAATTGGGAAAAAGTTACACCAGAAATTCATTCTCGACTTACAAAATAATTGATGACTGTAGCTTAAAACAAAATTGGGGAAGTAAGTATCTATCTGAAATATTTTGTTTCTAACTGTCTCAGTAGCTAGGTCAGGACTTACTTTGATATGTCTAGGTTTTTGCACACCTGACCTCCCTGCTAATGAATTTATGTGCTCTGTCAAAGTTGTAATTTGCAAAAACATGAGCCCTTTATGAGCCCTTTTAAACAAAAAAAAAAATAAAAATTATTTGAGGACTGATAGTAAATGGTAGTGTGAAATATCACATGCCAGAGCATCATAACTTAGACATTAGGTATGCCTCTAAGAATATACATATATGCACACACATACACATTTTTGCACAAAATAAAGATCAATTTTTTTTCCCTAAACTGGCCTCTGAACTGCAAAAATACAGTACAAGGGACATTTCAAATACAGCAATAGAAATTAGAGAAGAAAAACTCTTATTGTACTATACTGTCACCTTTTCCTCAATTTTTTAACAAGTCACCTCATAAATAACTTTAATTATTCAGTTTTCATCACTTCCCTGAGAAGGCTTGATACTAGTATCAGGAACTGACCTGGTTATACCTGCCTTATTCACGTCTTGCAGTCACTTGTTGCAATAGTCTAACAGGCAGCAGCAAATAAAATCATGTAAGGCTATAAATGCTGGAATTACAGTATCACTGAGCAAACTGGGTATGAAAAAAGTGAGATTACACAGGAAAAAGGTTCTGGTGACTGATGATAATACCACAGAGTTAAGATGGGAAAGCATTTCCATTTACAGTCAGCTTTATTTTTCTTTTTCTCCTTGTACAAGTTGAAACTTTGCATGCATGGTCACAGTCACATCAGGTACTGGATTTGTTAAGCTACTTAAAAACTGTGTGTTACATAAGTGCTTTGTCTAGGTAAAAAAATCCAGACGCTTTGTGTTCCTACCACTGTGTGTCTAATGCCTGGACTTAGGAGAATTTTAAATGAAAGAAAATCTCATTAGTTTCTGTACCCGGGGGAAAAAAGGCAACACTGGAGGGAGAACTCAAAAAATTACTTTTGATACAATGGATTTAAATATCCAAAGCTCAGTTCTAAGATATGTTAAGTGAACTTTTTCTGGGAAGGCTGAGACTGGAGAAGATGGATCAGTATTTTAACAGATTCACAGTGTGGAAAAAGCATTTTCACCTTTTCTTTGGCAGATAACACAGTGAAGAGCAGGGCTGTCAACCCCAGGGTGTTGCTCTGACTCTCTGAACACAATGACCCCAGCTGACTGGAAAATTCAATTCCTTTGCACCTTAAGAGGAAAGCTCATTTCAAAAGCCCTGAGAGGACATGATTCTGGTGCAGGTTCTTTTGGTGAAACTTCTACCATTTTTTTCCCTCTGGCTGCCATGAGAATTGACCACTTACCCACTTCTAAACTTCTATGCAAATGCAAGAAAAATAAACTGCAATTCGGTTTTGCCACTGTTGGGCAAAGTGTGAGGAACAACAAAGTCACTGAGAGAGCTTATTCTGCAGGAAGACAGTGCTACAGCGTGCCACTTACTATGGAAAAGTTTAGTACGTGAACTGGGAATGCCAACAACACAAAAAGCAATTCTGGATAAAGTTGATGT